AGCAGCTCAGGTCTGGGTGCAGGAGAGCCTCCCACACCCCCCGGGAGAGGAGAGGGCCTGGGACCTCACCCTGGTCGGACCCTGCAGCCCCTCAGACCCCCACCAGGAGATGAGATGTACTCACCCCAAGTCCCGGCGGCCCCGGGGGTCCCAGGCTTCCCTGAGAAGGAAAGGGTGTCAGGGATGGGATGGGCCCAGTCACCCCTCCTCTGTCTGCAAACCTGTTTCCCTCCCTCCCAGATCCATCCTACAGCTCCTCAGAGGAGGGGCCTCATTTTACAGAGACAGGGCCCTGGGAGGGGCACCCTCTGCTGCCCCAGTGGCCTGGGACCGGTCCCAGCCCCTGGTGGTTGGATTCTGAGGTCACGGGACCCTCCACCTTGGCCTGCGGAGGAGCCCGAATCTCCGGCAGCCGGGGTGCCCGCCTGGCCCGCCAGTCCTGTCACCCAGCCTCGCGAAGACACTTGTACCGAGGCCACTCCCCTCCGGTCCTGCCCACCCAAGGCTCCCTGCAGAGACCCTAGAGTTCACCTACTCCCGTCCACCCGGCACCAAAGGACCCACTGGCCACCGCTGCCACTCTCGCCCTTGTCCCCACTCCTCCAGCCGAGTTCCCTCTGTCTCTCCCTGTGCCCCCTGCCCTCTGCACCCCAGTGCTGGGGGGATGGTCACTGCTCAGAGAGGGAGGGGACAGCGTGCGGGGCTGGAGAAAGCCTTCCTGCAGAGGCTGGTCGGTCAGGAAGTGGGCTTCAGGAATGATGGTCAGGCTTAGGGCACAGCCTGGGCGACCCCGGGCCTCTTGAGTGTTCACCCGGGGAGCAGGAGGGCATGTGGGGTCCATCACCCCCAACCGTATCGCCTCCCCAACACAGTCTGAATGCCAGGACAACTCTGCCCAGAGGTGGGTGTGGAATGGGGGGCCGTGCACTTGCCACCCTGTGTCCCCTGCTATCCCGCGGTCCTGCAGGGCCCTGGCCCCAAGCTCGCCCCTGGGCTGCCTGCAGCCGCCCCCCGTGTTGCTGGCACTCACCCGCTCTCCAGGGGCGCCCTTGGATCCAGGTGGTCCTTCCCTACCAGTCAGACCCTGGGGGGAGGCAGGGCTTGAGGGGTCACATGGAAGGAAGTGACCCCCCACCCTGTGCAGGGGAGAACCAGCCATGGGCCCTTCCCTAACTAAACCAAGTCCAGAGCGGCCGAGAAGACCCCCGGGCCTGGCACCGTGCTGTGCTGGCCATCCACTGTCCACGGGGGTCCAGAGCCTCTGGGGGACACGGAGGCAGCCAGTGGGAGCCCAGCGCCTGGAGCCGTGGCTGGAGTTGGCGAGCCCCGCAGTCCCATCCAGACCTCAGCCCCGTGGTCTTGGGGCCAGGCCTTGAGCCCCTGATGACCAACGGGCTGGGGCTCTAAGGGGCCTGGATAATGGGTGTTTGTTCCCAGATAAGCAGGAGCTGGTGGGACTTTCACCTCTACTGTTTGGGGGCTCTGTCCTCTGCTGGCCAAGGCCAGACTCAGCTCTGGGATAAAGGCCAGAGCAGGCCCAGCTAGACAGCAGCAATTAACCTTGACTCCTGGGCCTGGGGAGGAACTTGTCCAAGCCCAGAGGGGAGTGGGGGCTCACAGGAGAGGAGAGGGGGCCTCGAGGGCAGGGAGGGCGCAGAGAAAGCGCAGGCACACTCACATCCACGCCAGGCAGCCCCGGCAGCCCAGCCTCTCCTGGTTTCCCCGGCTTCCCGGCAGCCCCTTTCGGTCCCTGTGGGGGAAGGGCAGAGGTGAGAGGAAGGTCCAATGGGGAGCCTTGGCCTCACCAAGAAATTGTGTTTTCCAGTCTGGGCACCACCCACAACGCAAGAGGGGCCTCTCTCCATGAGGCCCGGCCCTGTCCGTGTGCTGCAGGCCCGACCCAGCTGGGGTCACCTGCCAACCCTTCACGGGCCCCGGGAGGGCATCCCTCTCCAGCGGCCCCCTACTTGCTCACATCTGCAGGACATGCACCTGGGCGCGTCAGCCTCTCCGGCCAAGGGCTGACTGTGGGGCCTCAATCCCTGGGCCCACACGGCTCTGTGAGGACTCACTTGGGGACCTCTGGCCAGCTACCCCGCGAGGCTGCATTCCTCGCCTGTCCAGGCACTGGCCCAAAGAAAGCCTCAAAGCCCGCACCTCCCAGAGCCTCACAGACTCCGACACACACCCTCCCTCCCACCCCTTCCTGGCTCAGCCCTACTCCCTAACCCAGGGCCCAGTGTGGTGGGAAGGGGTGTCAATGACCCCTCTGTTTTAGGCCCACCCTCCCCTCCAGACTGGAAGGGGCCACCCCTCCCCCACAACAGCCAGGACACTCACCGGGGGCCCAGGCAGACCCGGAGGACCAGCTTCGCCCTGCAGAGGGGAGACACCCTGATGTCACCAAGGGTTCCCTGAAGACCCCGCCCCAGGGAGCAGAGCTGGGCCCCAGGGCCCTGCCCCAGAAGGCAAGTTGGGAGTCCCTCACCCCCTCGTCCACACCTAGGGCACCTCCCCGCTAGGGCCAGGTGCTGAGGCAGGCACTGGGGAGAGGGGCTAGCTAGCTGGACAGGCTGGGCTCAGCCCTGACATGGCTGACACTGCTTCTGGGGGTCACTTTGAGGGCTCAGGGTCATGACCCCCAGAACCAAGGGGAAGGCTCCAAGAAGCCCTAGCTCCTCTGCTGCCAGAGAAGCTTCAGGAAGCGCTGTGGACGCTGAGAGGCCTGCTGCCCGCACCTGTCCAGAGGGGCAGCCCCAGACCCGTGAGGCCCCAGAAGGCAGCCTGGCCTCCCTGCCACAACCTCCAGGCCTGAGACCCTTTAACCGAGGCTCCAGGCAGGTTTGAGTGGACGCATCCTCAGGAGGAATGATCAGCTGGCCCGGGAGCCCCGGGGGGCCAAGGGCCCAGCCAGGCGGGAGAGGTGTGGGGTCCAGGTTGAGGGGGAGGCTCAGGGCCACCTACAGCCAGGCAGGGCCTTGGGGACTCAGAGGGAATAATATGGGTGAGGAGATGCCTTGGAGGGGGCCCCTACCTTTCATGGAGGTGGCTGGATGGAGGGGCTTCCACCCCAGACGGCCCCTGGGGGCAGGCTGCAGGATTTCAGCTGCCCCCCCATATTGCTGGCTGGGGGCACCTACCAGGGACGCAGTGCAGGCCAAGCCCCCCCAAGGCTGGCTTCAGCCCCCAGCAGCCCCAACAAGACCCACAAAGAGGGTCAGGCCCTGCACTTCCACACCCAACCCCCAGAATACAGGAGCACAGACCCCCGGGCACACACCTCAGTGCCCACATTTCCAGTCAAAGACCACCATGCAGCCCCGCCCCCACGCCGCCCCAGGCAGGCCCTGTGGGGTGTGTCCCAAGTAGGAACAAGGATCGTCTTTGTTTCACATCCCATATGGGTGCTGGCTCATCACCCCGACATCACCCGACCTGCGAAGTAGGACGTAGTTTTCTCTCCATCAGGCCCAGGGGTTTATAAAGGTTGGAGCCAGAGCTGGAGCCCCACAGAACCCTCCTGGGCCTTCCCATGCCCCAAACTCACATCAACGCCATCTTTGCCCGGCTTCCCAGGTGGCCCTTGGGGACCAGGAGGACCTCGCGGTCCCACTTTCTGAAATGGAACAATGTCATTAGGCACCTGGGACTTTTCACCCCTCCCCCTCGAGGTGGGTCCCCTGGTTAGCTCTTGGGTCAGTCCGATGGAGTGTCCCTTCTTCCCAGGGTCGAGCAGCACTGGGGCCTGGCACAGGGGCCCATGACCCTGTCTGGCTTCAGGGATGCCCCCCGCCCCCTGCCAGTGTCTACTGCCTCATCTGTGCAGCCAGGAAGGGCTGTGCCCACCGCAGGGAGCCTGGGAACAAAGGCCACATTGTGGTCTCTGGCGGTGGCGGCACCCTGGCCTGGGAGGACCAGGCAGCCTCCTGGGCTCACGCAGAGGAGGCCTGGTGTCTGTGGGCTCAGCCTGGTGGTCGAGATAGGCCTGTGCCAGTCTCCCTGTCCCAGGCTCACTCGCTGGCTGGCCCAGGCGGCTGGGGTGGGGGCCGGCCCCCAGGCTGCACGGCTGGATGTCTGACATCAGAGCCCCAGACCCCCACCCCAGTCCGCGGGGACGAGCCCAGCTCTCCTGCGCCCCGTGCTCACCTGCGCCTCGGTCCTGGCCAGGAGCTGCCCGAGCAGGAGCAGGGCCAGCGTGGGGGCTCTGGCCATGGCTGCGTGCACTCTGAGTGGCGCTGGAGGCGCGGCCAGGCTGGGGCTCGGGGCTCTGGGCGCGGGGTTTGGAGGGCGGGGCCGGCGGCGGGCAGGTCTCCAGTTCCCGCCCCTCTGGCTGCACACAAACCCCCCATTCAGCGGGCCCACCAAGCTGGGCAGGGGCTTCCGCCACCACCGGGCCTCCCAGTCCAGGCTGTGGGAGGAAGGCAGGGGCCGGGGTGGGGGGAAGCAACCAGTGGCATTTTTTGGGTCAGCCTCTGAGTTAAAATTACTCCGGCTGCTGAGTGAGACACACACACCTTTTAGCAAAAGAGAAAGACGCTCTTTTCTCCCTGCTCCTCCCCGGGGTGTGGGAGCCCACATGGAAGGGCTCCTGTGGGGAAGGCGCACCTTTAGTCTGAGAAATGGGGTCCGGAAGCTGCCTGCCCTTCCCCAGGCCCTGAGTGGGCCCCAGGCTGCCCAAGGCCCAGGGAGACCTCCCGGAGAAGGTGAGTGCGTGTCAGGGTTCCAGCCAGCCCCCACAGCCCTGATTCTCGACATGGGCCCCGCCATGGGCAAAAGTCTGGGGCAGTGATGGCGAGCCTATGACACGCGTGTCAGAGGGGACACGCGAACTCATTTTTTTGGTTGATTTTTCTTTGTTAAATGGCATTGAAATATATAAAATAAATATCAAAAATACACATCTTTGTTTTACTATGGTTGCAAAGATCAAAAAATTTCTCTATGTGACATGGCACCAGAGTTAAGTTAGGGTTTTTCAAAATGCTGACACGCCGAGCTCAAAAGGTTCGCCATCACTGGGCTAGGGCCACACCTGCCAGGTTGGGAATACCTCCTACTTCAGAGCCTTACCCCATACTTTATACTGAGTGGTCCATCCACATGAGCCATGGCTGGCAAAGGCCTGGCTGTCCCCTGGCACCCCTCACCCCACGGGACAGCAGAGTGGTGGCTCTGGCCGAATGGAAGGAGGACCACCAGGGTCCTGAGGCCGGGCAAGCGGTGATGAATAGGGACTCTAAGGCTGCGTCAGGTGCTCCGTTTCCCACAAGCCCCTGGCAGCTCAGGGCTCCCTGGATTTGGGCAAACTGATCACTCACTCTGGGAGGAGAAGGGGCAGCACCTGGGGCCAGGTGGCCTCCATGGCCACCCTAGGGGCCTCTCCAACATCCAGGTCACCTACAGGCCCACCCCAAGATATCTGCATATTTAGGGGTCATGGCACAGCTGCCCCCCAGCTCCCGCCTCAGTTCTCCCAGCTGCCCCCCAGCTCCCACCTCAGTCCCTCCCAGTTGCCCCCCAACTCCCGCCTCAGCCCCTCCCAGTTGCCCCCCAGCTCCCGCCTCATTCCCTCCCCGTTGCCCCCCAACTACCGGGAAGGGAGGGGGAGAGACTGAGAGAAACCCCGCCTCAGTCCCTCCCAGCTGCCCCCCAGCTCCCGCCTCAGCCCCTCCCAGTTGCCCCCCAATTCCCAAGGAAGCCCAGCTGGCCTCCAGCTCCTTCAGGAGCCACCTGGCATCTGGCATCCTGCTCCACTGCCGCAACAAGCCCAAGCCCCGCCCCTAGCAGACCCTTCCATCCTGCCGCCGGGGGAACGCCTCTGCTCCCCAGAGCTGCCCCTGCCGCCAAGCCCTAAGAGCTGCAGTGGCCTGGGACTGGGGGAGAGGGGCCAGAGCTTGGGGGTCAGTGTACTGGAGCTGCCTGGCTGTCCTCAGTTCCCCACTGTGGGCACAGACCCCACCGCCAGGGTGACTTGAGTAGAGTTTCCTTCTGGCATCAAGCTTCTCTATCTGAACTTGAACCCCACAGGATCTCACCTGGGACGCCGACCACTGGGTCCCTGACTCAGTGATTGACGTCCCACACCCACATCAGCGCTCAGTCCCTCTGCGGTGCAAACGGGGGGGCTAAGGACATGCCCCTCCCCCATGAGGGCGCTGGGGAGTTAAGGCAGGGTCTCCCTCCAAAACGACTTCCAGTTTGTCTGTCACATCGAGTCCCCCTCTCCCCTGCCCTTCCCGGGACTAGAGCTAGTGGCCAATGCTCTTCATGGAAAGGAGACGGTCACACTCAGCAGCTCCCTCCTCCTCAGGAGAGCAGTGAGCTCATCACTTCTTTTGTGCAAAGGCCCTCTGCCCAGGCCCCTGGCCCAGGGGGATGAAGCCAGGCTGGGCGCCCACCCTGTCCTGGGGGCAGGGATGCTACAGGAGGGATGCACTGTGCCCAGGCCGGGTGGGAGGAGCCCAGGGGGTCCTGGGAGGCGGTGCCTTGGAGTGGAGGGTCAGCAAGGGGCCGTGGCCGGCAGGGCAGGGACAAAGCACAGAGAACACTGCCGAGTTAGTTTACTTCCAAAGCACATCACTGCCCCAGAATCAGGGCAGGCGAAGGTGTGGTCTAGACGTGGGCATCTGAACACTGCCCACCGCGGGCGGAGCTGCCTCAGTGCCCGTGACCAAATGCAGCCAAGGCCCACTATCCAGCCCGTGCTCTGTGATCAGGGTGCACCGGCGGGGGTGCTCCACTAGGGCCAGAGTCCGGAGAGCAGCACCTCCCGAAACCAGCCCGTCCACCCTGGCGCCCACAGGACCGCGATCCACACGGAAACACTAAGTCAAATGAGTTTATTCAGAAAAGGCCTCGGCACCAGACTAAGAAATGAGCCCGCTCCCACCCCAGCCGCTCCGGGGCCAGTTTACAAAGTC